AATATTTTTTAATTTAACTGCTGTACTTTAAAATACATTTGAAGTAGCATGTCTTTCATTCATAACTTTTGCTTTTCTTATGTTGACAAGACTTTTCACAATATTTCAAGAGGAAAGTTTTGATTTTTAGTTTTCTTTTATAGTCCCTTAATACGCGAGAGTTCTATTTGCTAATTACCAATAGCAGTTAATATTTCCACAAGTATTGGATATTGTAATGACTTAAAATGACCATAAGAGTTTTATCTTTTATGTGTTAATAAGGGAGATACTATTTAATTATTATTCAAGTTCAAGAATTTTTTACTATCTTGTAACAAATATGTGTTGACATTACATTTTATACTGCATTACTATGTTCAGATAACCACATGGGGTTATAGCATCATTTTGTAGTAAAACTGAATTTAATGATAATTTTCATTTTTATAAAAGCACTTACAAAATTATACTACATATGGAATTGCTTAGATATTTTTTTCCTGTTGTTCTCCTTCTGCCAAGGCTGTTCAGTATTTAAATGTATCAGTTACAAATATATTGCAGTCTTACATCAATTCAAGCAGAGATGTTTATTAAGTTATATGTGAGCCACTTGTTTATTTCTTTACATTTTCCATGTTCTTTTTAAAAAATTTATCTTAAAGAGGATAAAACCAAGGAAAATAAAACAGAATAAAATCAATCAAGACAAACCTGTGTTAGTGACAAAAGACCTCAAAAAATATGGAATCAACAGTAGTCCTGTAACTCCTCTGGCTGTCCTCAAAATAGCTGAAGATACCCTCAATATAGTGAAGATCAAACAGAGCAGAGGAGAACAGAATAGAAGCAAACAAACAAACAAACAAACAAACAATCCAATAAAAATGACATGGGTTTGTGAACAACAACATAGAAATCCAAGCAGCCAAATTGATAAATTTGAAATTTAATTAACTGAGCTCAGGACCACTTGTATATAGGCTCTCCTGTTTCAGAGTCCAGAAAAGTGGCACCAAACTAGGAATTCACAGAGCTTTTAAAATAAAGAACCACAAAGACATCCTGTTGGAAACAATTTAGTTACAATCTTACATTAATTTTTGTCTGACATCTGTATCCTGCTTCTTTTGTTGAGCAGGTTAATTTTTCTCCTGCGGGTACAGCTCATTCTAGTTTTCTTATGGGCCTTATATCATGAGTAATTTTCCATTTTCCTGGGTCAAATACAGGGCACTAATTAAATGCAGGGCTCAAAATGGCATCAGTTATGTCAGGCTGCCTGTCAATAAAGGCCTTCCAAACAAGACAGTAGTAAATCCAAAATGGCTACTATAATATATCTTTCTTCTTTGGAATAGTTGCTCTTGCCATTGAGTATAACAAAATCACACAAAACAGAACCAAATCCAATCCAATAAAACAGTGAAAATGATACAGGCCCTCAAAACAAAACAAAAGGGAATTAACAGTGGCTACCACCCTCAGAAGGAGATCCCTCTTAGACGCCACATTCCATATCACCATCCTCTGAATAAATGATCTGACTACTGGCCCTACATGTGCAAGGTCAGTGAAACACTAAAACACCACAAGCTTTGTGGATAGCATCTCACCTCAATAGCTATCCCTGCAGCCCATGTTTATCCAGATCAGCTGGTTGTTTCTAAGAGTCAATCTTATCCCTATAAGACTGGTTCTTCTTATTAGCCATCCCACATGCTGGAGGGGGCTGCAATCAGGCTGTCCCCTCGCTGGTAGTGGCCCACAAGTTGACAAGGAAGGCTTGCTTCTTGGTGAGGCCTTGTTCTTTCCCTGCATTTTTCATGATCTTATTGCTAATCCAGTGTTTGTCTATATCAAAAAATTGAAACGGTTTTAATTATTATTTGTAACCCAATGATATCAAATGATCTATTCATTTGTACTCAAATATAACAATATGGATATTTAAAATTTAGTTGTGTTTAAAATTTTCTTACTGGGCTTTACACTACTTCTGGAAGTATGTCCCATTTTATTTCGTGGAACTCACTTTTTCAGTAACTAAGGTATGAAATAACATGTGTCATTATTCATCAACTGTTTTTCAGACAGTTTGGAGCTCAACAATTATAGATTTTGTCAACTTCACATTAAAATAATCCATTCTTGTTAGTCTAGTTTGAGCTACTGTGACTTCTTACTCACATGAAATTTTCACCACAACCTACACTGCAGTGATACTAAGGAAGAAAGCACTGAGAAATAAATACACAGACATTATTTCTCTGAAGTAAATTCTGCTGACTATTTTTTTCAGGTATCAAGATATGTACTGTTGTCTAATTATTCTGGTGCTTCTCAGGAGTCATTTTTGCTCATTTTTGGATAAGGTTATTATATTGGATCCTCAGAGAAAGTGAAGGTGAAATGAAGAATATACATTTTACTTTTTAGAATTGGAAATTTCACATATTAACTTTCTAACATGACTTACAAAAAAGTTTAATACTAAGACAGGAGTATGTAGCTGTCTATCTGTATCAACCTACTTAACATGACTTATGCAGCTAGATTAGTAACTAATTGCAGATTACTAAATTTTAATTATATCTGTATCAATAATAACATGTTTCTATAAATTCAAGTGATTATAATGATCTGATAGCTAAAATCTATCTCTTTAGATTAATCATGTAGATATAAAGTAATAGATTCTAACAATATTCAAAAGCTCAAATTTAAGTATAAATATATTAAATCCTTACCTTTATATGAAATATCATTATATAAGTAGAATTAGAAATATACATAAGTATTCATGCTATAAAAATATTCTCTGTGAGTAATGTAATTACTAGAAATTCAATAAATAAGTGTATAATTCAGATAATCAATTTCATATTTATATTATAAAAATAAGTTATAATTCTATAAAACATTAAATTGTGCACTGTTTATTACTGTAGAATGAAACAAAAAATTGTGCATTGTGTATAATCATAGAATATAAATAATGTATATGGAATAATGCATGATAAATTTAACTTACTATTTTTTCTTAATTTCTAAATATGATATTTAAGTTGCTTTACAGTTCATTAACTTTTTAATGTCTTTATTAAAATTTCTTTTCTTTAGGTTTTATTGGCTTAAGGTTTGCAACTGTGAGCCAGTGCCTTAACTAAGAAATTTTAATGCATACCTTAAAGCAGGATTTTCTTGAAATGTCATCTGAAGTTTCTGCACATAAAAAGCAAGTAGGGTTAACAATCCAGGCAGGATTAGCACACTTGAAATAAGGCATCTAGGTGGCATAAATGAATTGTGAAAATATAAAGTGGAATTTTCATCCAACTTTGGTAATTCCAAGATGACTATTCTGGGCAATGCTTCCTCTTTATCAAATTAAACCATTAAGGTATATAAATGTATGTATATATTCAAGAATTATAAAACAATGCATATAAAATCAAGCCTATTGCTAATTAAATCTTAAACAAGAAAGGACTCTTCTTTAAGTTAAACTTTTTCAGCTTGAGAACATGATTTTCATGTGTAGGAGTTGTTACGGATTTTTTTTTTTTGTCTTTTTCATTTTTATTGGTACTGGGGATTGAACTCACAACCGCCTGCTTGCAAGGCAGGTGCTTATGCCGCTGAGCTAAACTCCCAGCCCCAAGTTGTTATGAATTAAAACTGATGGTCAGTTTAATGCCAGCAGAATTAAATCAGCATGGTGCTGAGTGTAGATGTTTCACCTGAGCATAATTGCCAGCATAAATAGAGATGTGGAGAAGGACAAGGAAGGTGTTGTAGCATTGAGGCATTGTGGGTTTCATTAAGTGTTGCTGTTTGAGCCATTAGTTCTCCTGGAGGAGCTCTGGTCCTTACATTGAGTGTTGCTTCCTGGGTCTGGAAGGGAAAACATACGCCACTTAATCTTGAGGACAAACACATCATACTGACTTCCTGGCATGCACTTGACTGTGCTTATTGTTGGAACCTCTGTGTCACTGAGGATGGCTGTGGTGCTTTTCAGGACACCCCTGGTCTTTATTATGAGCATGGCTTTTCGACTCCAGTGTAGAACTCTCAACCTACCAACACAGCTCCTTCACCTCGCTGGCATAGACTTCCTAGCTTCCTGCTGGCCTTTGGGCCTTCCCAACATGGATCCAACAAAGATAGTAGCGTGAGTCCTTCCTGTGGGCCTTCAGTTGGACTTGTGGGAGGCACTGTCATGAGCTCTGGATCTTCATCTAGACTCATGTAGAACATTGCTGTGGGATTCAGGCCCTTGGCTGAATAATCCGTGTCTTTAGTGTTGTGGACAGATTTCCTGCATTTTCTTGTGTTAACTCTGGGTGACCATCATATAATAATATTATAAATTCCATGTCCTGATTTTAATTGTTCTCCTCACAACTGCTGACTACAACAGGAATAATTAATTTAATTTTATTTTTTTACAAACACATATTCCTCTTCACAACATTGGGAAACTAACATCTAGAAACATTCCTTTCAAAAAATTTCACTTAAGCATACCAATAAGCATGTAGTATGGTCATGTTTATGTATGTATCATGGATACCTAAGGGTTCATGTTGAATGTAACTTCATGAATGAATTCTTGTTTCCACCAAGAAAAGAATGACAAATCAGTTTAGGAAGTGAGATTTGACACAAGAGAAACGATGGGCTGCATTTGACTGAGTCATTCAATAGTATGTGTGACCTTGACTACAATAACCTATAAAAGACATGCATACTCCTGAATATAAGTTGAAAAGTAATTGAGGGTGACTTGAGACTTATGTACTGTAACAAATTTACTTCCTGTATTTAAATAGGGAGGAATTTTAATGTTCAATTTATCCGTGGTTATAAGTATAATTACTTTTTGGATCATTATTGTTATTAAATGATATTTACATATTTCTTTTTTTTTCACTATCCTGAATTCTTTCTTTCTCTTTTCCCTCAGTAACTAAATGTGCTAATTTCCTCCACGTGAATTTCATTCTCTTCAGGAAGACCCACTACGTTATGTGAGATTATGGCTAAAGCTGAAATTTGGCTAATCCGGACATACTGGGATTTTGAATTTCCTCGTCCATATTTGCCTAATTTTGAATTTGTCGGAGGACTGCACTGCAAACCTGCCAAACCTTTACCTAAGGTAAGTCTATGATGATGAATGTTTTAGATACATTAACATACTCGATTTTTCTTCAAAGCTCACAGCTTCGATAAAAGATCTTTTGCTGCCTATCTTAAACATGTCACTGCAAAATTCGTAGGATGTCACTCCAAATTTATTTACTCATCATGTTGGCCTAGTGATAATATGTTTTTTGTCTGCTTAATTAAAGTGTTGTGCAAAACTGTGTATATATTGTGGATATTGGAGTCGAGAGATACGAAGCCAGTCATGGAGATCACTAAGAACACTGCTAAAGTCATTCTTACAAAGTTATACAGTTAAAAGCAGGAATAATGACCAAAGATTTTAATAGAGACAGATGCTTTCATGATAATATGAGATCAACACAGATTTTGAGAAGAGGAAAAATAGTGCTGATGGAGAACAGTGAATCTGAGAGTGCTGTGAGACTTTAATTTCACAACATCATTCATATCGTATTGAGCTTTATTCTATTAGGAAACAGTGAGAAAAAACCTGGAATTGAGGATCATAGGGGTAGACTTTTACCAATTTGCTTCTAAGAGCCAAAGAGAGTGTTCTATGATTTCTAGAAATAGTTTGGGTGGTTAAAGAGTTCTGTGTCCACAGAAAACATTAAAAATACCATGAAGTGATCAAATTTAGGGAATCAATTATTGTATGGATTATTTCTGATTATGATGTCAGAAATTTTTGCAATGGAAAAGATGTATACAACACTTGAACATATCCCATTAATAAGAGGATGTTAGTAATGTTGGACATTACAGTATTGAGAAAAAAAAGAAGTAATGGAATAAAATAGGGTAAAATCATTGCATTAATTATTAATATGGATTGAGGAGGCAAATTCTCATTTATTTGATTTTAAATTCCATGAGTGAAATCTCTTGAGAAGACTGAATGAAGGTCAAATGTTGTACTCAGCAGCATTTCTGATATCTGTTCAGAACAGGGAAACTATATATAATTTTAAAGTTACATTACAAGATGCTGGTTATATCTTACTTGCCAACCAATTTCTGGAGGCAGCTTTATTGAGTATGGTTGAATTGGATTTAATGAAGCAATTGTTGAAAATATATAGAAAGAGATGACTCATGAATAGATAAGTAGACAGTGATTCTAAGACAAAGTATTAAATCTATCCTCCTATTTGCTCTGCCCCCACAACTTCACAAAATAGCTTATATGTATATTACCAGAGAAATAATTCATTCCATTCCAAATTCACCTTATCTGCTGATATAGGTTGAGCAATCTCCATGAAAGCAATGACACATGTCTGGGATGGAAGTTTTGAAACACAAAATAAAGAAATAATGAAAGGGTGGAGGCAAGGTAGGGAAATGGAAAAAAATCAAATATTTTTTGTATGGGTACAAATTCCCTATGATGAATGGTATCATTATATATAGCTAAAATGGACCAAAATCTTAATTAATTAAAAAGATAATGAGAAATAGTCAAGAAAAATGCCTGAAACATTGTGGGGTATATGTGTGTTTCTGTGTGTGTTATTTTCATCAATAAATAATTATTTGGATGTAAATTAATTGGTGAAAAATCAATTACTGGGACTCATAAATACTCTCTTGCCCTAATTAGGCTAAAAGTAACAGTTTATTTTCATTAAAGATAACATCCTCTTCTAGGAATTTTACTGGCTATAGTCAGAGATACATTATTCTCAAAGCAACCACAGTAGTTGCAGAAAAAGACAATTGGGGATGCATCTCTGAATGGGGTGTTTATATAGATTTCTCTGTGAGTAGTCTGCAACCCACAATTTGCAATGGCACATTTGGAAAATTTTAAACGGTACCTCAGTAAATTTATTTTTAAAATAATTTATTTTTAAAGCTGCTATTAAGTCTCAAACTAATAGAATAAAATTAGCATCATTCTAATTAGTAGTCTACATAGACTAGCACCTAGAATTGCTGTGTCATAAAAGTCATTATTATAGGAGCAGATTAGATGTGATGTCATAAAAATATGACTATACATAGTATTTCTAGTAAATTTCTTAGCCTTACTAATAATGGAAACCAGAAAATTGATAAAATTAATTTTATGGTGCCTAAAAAGAAAATAGATAAATTTATTAATAAAATTTAGATAAAAGTCAAATGCTAATAATTTTCACAGTTGTCTATTATTAGAAGATGTTACTAACTTGTGATAGAGAGATTCATTTTTAAAAATTAGAACATTCATGTATCAAATATTGCTCATTTCAATCCCAAAATCATTTTTCTCTGTTCTCCCCTTTCTAATTCATTTGCTTCCTGCTCCCCACAAGGCTATCTCTAACTTTCCATCATCTCTCATATGTCTTGTCTATTTTTCTGTCTGCTTGTCTATCATCTACCAATCATCTGTCTATGTATCTATGTATCTATGAATCTATCTATCATCTATCTACCAACTATCTATCTATAGGAAGCCCTTCTAGACCTCATCATGGTCCTGTAAATCCACCTTAGCAATCCCATGGAAAAGATATTGGAATTCTACTAAGTTAATACTGATCAACTGCTTCCAGTGCAATACATGACAAGAATAAAGATACGAAGATTTATTTGTATTTGTGGGGAGCCAAGGAGGTCATAAGTTTAGATAGAATGATGGCTGACGGAACAAATGCCTTGATCCAGGGTGGAAGCCAAGTTGTACTAATTCCTGGAGAGGAGAGTGTCTCAGAGTTCACTGAAGGTGTGAATGTGGGAAGTATGTGAGTTCTGTGAACTGGGTTAAGTGGGAGGCCTGAAATCACCTCTGCAATATGTAGAGAGATGCAGAAAAAATAAATTGCATAACACAATTTGAAGCAGTGTTTAATATTTTGGCATCTGTGCTTCAGTTTGATGTGTAATTTTTTTATGCCTTGAGAATTCATAGCCTCTAATCTCAAGACAGTTTAAGCTAACAGTTTGACTATACATGGTCTAGCTCATATGTATTATTTGGGAGCTGTAGATTGGGCTTTGCTGGCCTGATCCATTGTTTTAACAGCTATCCATCAGCAATTCACCTAGGCCCATTTGTACTGCTTACAGTCAATTGAGTTGATAAGGAAATAACCAATGCTGTATATATCAATACACAGAAATAGGGCTGGGTTTAGCCAAAATGGAGACAGTTGTCCTTTATTCAAGGAGAAGTATGCACATGGTCATCCATATCTATATCTATCCTTTTATCTACTTGTCTCATATAAGAGAAATTATTCAATATTAACTCAAAAGTGATAGAAAAATAGAAATCTTTTATTTTTAATTTCATTTTTAGTAATTTCAAGTCTGAAACCTATTGTTTCATTTTATGCACTGATTATTCAGTTTGATGATTCTCATTTTTCATTGTTTATTTTAAAGAGACTAAAACAAAAGAGAACAGAACAAAGCATATCAGAACAAAACAATGCAAGGAACATAGCACTTCACAACAAGACAACAGCACATCAACAATAGTTACCATAATTTCCCTTGTTTTCTTCAATATAGTTGAGCATACCTTCACATGTAATAATGTCAAACATAACAAAATAGTATTAAGCCTTTCAAAAGAATGAAAGTGTTACAGGACTTCAAAACAAGTTAATAGGAAATCAAAAAAAGTTACTTTTATACATCCTGCTAATTTTTAAAAATTTTTCCCCTCAATTAAAACAAACATAAGAAATAACTAAATAATTTTTTTTAAAGAATAAGGGAGAGATTGAGATAAAACAGGACATAATAATATAACAATACAGGTCAAAGCATGACTGTTTCAGCAACCTAGTGGTTCACCACCAAATAACCTGACTTAATAGTAGTTACCATAGTGTCTGTCTTTTTCTTTGAAATATTTGAATAAAACTTCATATACTATAGCTTCAAATATTTCCATATCAAGAAGCCATTCTGTATGTTCCATTCTGTATGATAGCATCAAGTTTGAGGGTATAGGCAACTGCTTTGAAGGCAATAAGATTCACTAAGATGCCCATTCTGGTTTGACTATTGTCTCCTTTGGAAGTCCTGTAATGTTTATAATGCCTAAGTTTTATTGGTCTTGTTCTCTACTGTTTTGTTCAACTTTATAATATCTAATGAGATAGACAATTCCTTTTAAGGAAACAAGAGACATCGTTGATAACCATTGTTGATAACCTTGTACTCTGTTTTACACCATGTGCGGTGTCTATCCTTGGTTTTGACTGACAGCTTTGTTTTGCCATATTTGACTTTATTCTCTCCCCCCCCCAAAAAGTAATAAGAACTAAGGAGTAATAAAACCCAAAATGTGTAAATTTTGTTGTAAAAAAGAGAGGGAAAAAAAGAGCTCTAAAGGATACAACAGCAAGTGTGTTTAGGGGTGTTAAATAGCTGACCATATTAATGTTTTTGGTTGGATCATTGAACACAACTGTTTGCAGTCTCACTGTTTGAATGTCCACTTTGTATGCTTTGATACTGTGATTTGAGCAACTATTTCTAAGATGATAATATGTAATCTATTAACTGGTGATTTCTTACTTTTTTTTTTTTTGTAGTTCTGTATTACGTGTACCCTTACACCGCTTTGTTTTGTTTTGTGTTTTTCTCTTTTTCCTTTTAAATAAAGATAAAAAAAAAAGAATGAAAGTGTTGCAGGATTTCAAAACCAAATAACAGGATATGAGCAATGGCTACTATAATGTCTCATTTTCCTCAAGAAAGTTGTCTATACCATCACACATAATAAAATCAAGTAAAACACAACAGGGTAGAACAAATAAAAGCAGAACAAAAGCATGGCAGGCCCTCAAAGCAAGATGATAGTAAATCAACAATGCCTACCATAATGTCTTTTGTCTTCAAAACAGCTGTTCATACTATCACACATAATAAAATCAAACAAAACAGAATAAAACCAAAGGAACAAATAAATGAAAGCATTATAAGATATCAAACAATATAATAGGAAACCATGATTGCCATAATATATCCCTTTATATTCAAAAT